CACATGAAGCTACCAGGGATTCCTGAGCAAAAGCTTAAAATGCTTCAGTTCCCTACAAATAAGCCCCACTCATTGCTTTCAGTCTGTGTCGTCACGGGGTGGGCAAGGAATCAGACCTCTAGGAATAGTTGCATATCGGGATCGTAAAAACTCCTACATGGCTATAAAATAGTGTCTTGAATTATCAAGGCGCTAGGAATGCAGGCACAAAGAATAGTCCATTGTAGAGATGACCTTGGTCCAAGGACAAATTGGAGCTTGACTAAGCGAAGCTTCAGGTGGCCAGTGAGCTCAGCTCCGCACGAATGCACGAATGCCCAAGGGGAGGGGCGCCGGGCCCTCTGTAGTTGGCTTATCGTCAGAATGGCAAAGAAAGTTTTCCTTCCCACGTGCAGTGAGTTCGCTTGCTAAGCGTATTTCACGTGGTTTTTTGGTTCTGTTTTTCTCTGGGGAGAGGGGTGTCATCTCTAAAGCTCTCCAAGCAGTTAGGTTTTCTTCCTAATCCCATCTTTGAGTATTTATAACGTGTTCTTAAAATGTTGCCTGGGGCTCCCTTGTAAAATCCGGCCTGTACTTTTCTTAATGACACACTCGAACAGTTTCTACATTTCAAAGCCTGTTTTCCATATGACAAGGTAATCACACACATGCACACACCGTGCCAGACTTCATGTGGACCTGGGAACCAGGCAAACCTGGATTTGCATCCTCCCCTGCTACTAACTAGCTGTGTGACTTTGGGCAACTTCCTTAACCTCTCTGGGCCTCAGTGTCCTCCTCTGTAAAATAAGGACAGTAATCGTTCCTGCCTCATATACAGCTGTTGCAAGTGTTGAGTGAGACTGAGTATTGAAAGCACTTGGGTTAGTGCCTGGTACGTAGCAAACGCTCGATAAATTCAGTGGTGGCAGTTTTTAATCGTTAATTCAACTACGGCATCCAAATATCTACTGGCCTGTCATCCATCACAGAGGCTTGCCCACGGTAGGCGCTTAGTCGTGTTTATTGTCATGAATTGAATTGACTCCGACTGTTTAGATTCGGAGGATAAATATTTCCCTTTCGACCGGGCTGTTTGATAGACACAGGTGATCACTCAAAGCTCAGGTGTTAAAAGCACGACAACGAAGAGGCTGCTTCACGTAGAAAGACCTTCTCCTCAAGGCAGGCTCCCCCTGGTCCTCTTGGGCACCCCTGTGGCCGAGCGCTCGCTGCGCTCGGCAGGATGTCAGAGCCATCTCGGCAGCTCCTTGGAGTCTTGAGGCTTCCTGTGACGTGGATATCAAGTGTGAGGGTTTTTAATTGCCTTTGGCTGAAAGAATTGGGTCAGATGTTCAATTCGGGTGAAATCCCTGCCTTCTAAAATATGATGGAAAGGGGAGGGGCCACTCACACGCAAGTCCTGAAACGTGGGGGCCCCGGCAAGGTGAAGTGCAGTGAGGGCTGCCGCTCAGGGCTGGGCTGCTGTGAGGTTTTGCACTCACCGTTTGGTTTTGCAGATTCCTCAGCATGTCTACACACACGTACCTACACACCAGTTTAGAATGGTGTGCTCTGGGGGGGGAGGGGCGTGGGGAGGGATCGGGATTGGTCTAGGTCATTGCTGATGACGTAGCTTGACTCCCATTTCCAACAAGACAGTGACCGATGGAGGCAGAGGCTCCTTAACTGAGACCCACGGATGGGTAGTAAGTGGTCCAGAAAACCCCTGAGATTATACGTAAGATGTCGGTGGGCTGGGAAGGGGGAGACACCAGCGTAAGTGCTTTTTCTGTGGAGAGAGACCATAGCTTTTAGCCGTTTCTCAAAGGAGTCTGTGACCCAAGACAACCAAGACCACAAAGCTGTTGGGTTTGGTTGGCCCAGACCACTTGGTGTGTCTCACCGAGCACCCAGACGACCCCGCTAGGCGGTCAGGGCAGTGACAGGAGCATTCAGAGGCATGTCGTGGCCACGCCGCTGATGGACTCTTCAATGGTTGTTGTAGACTCATGTAGACAAAGCCTGCAAGCTTGGGGAAGCCAGGCCCCCCCAGGTCAGCCTCGGGCGACAGCCCCCATCCTGCCAGGCCCTGGGGAGTGAGTCCTTCCTGCCCGGCAGCTCCTTTGCTCAGGAGCTGGCCCGAGTCACCTCCTCGTACAGCACCTCAGAGGCAGCGCCCTGGGGCGGCTGGGATCCGAAGGCCTGGAGGCAGGTGCCCGCTCCACTACTGCCTAGCTGCGACGCTGTCGGTAAGTCACTTCCCCCAGCCTCGCTTTCCTCATCTGTCAGCTGGGCACGGTCCCCTGCGCAGCCTGCCCGCCTGCCGCACAGGGTTGTTGGGAGGCACAGAGGAGGTGACAGCCCGGCCCGTAAAGCTCTGTTCACCTAGGAGGGATTTCTAGCAGAGAGACCACCCAGGCAAGCAGACTGCTCCGGCATCTCAGCCTCATCTTCGGGGCACTGAGTGGTGATCGCCCTGGGCGCAGTTGCTCCCTCCTGGCTGTTGGCCTTCCAGCACCCCAGTTCATTCCCTGCCTGTCTGTCCCTGCGGCCAGGCTGTGAGTCCGTGGGGCACAGGGGCTGCGCTTCTGCACCTCCGAATCCCACCCCCCACGTCCGCCCCGACCCCGTGCCTGCCTGCTCCATAGCCGGTGGGCGCTCGGGAACTGCCTCTCCCTCCAGCGGTCTGCTGTGGACTCCGCACCCCGAGGTGTTCTTTGACCCCACCTGGGACTCACGCACCCCAAGAAGTGGGAAGTTGGATCGCCCCACTGGAGGACTGGTAGCCCCGGGGGAGGGCAGGCAGAAGGAAGCCCAGATTCTCAAAGAAATGCCTTGACTTGCCCTAAGGAGTCACGTTAGTGGGCATGAGAGAAAGATGGTGGACGCCAGCCGGAGCGGGCCTTTGCAGAGAATTTCACTGGGCTCGTGGAGTTGTTGTTCTGGCGCATGAAATATCAGTGTGTATGGGATGTCAGACCTCTCTGCAGAGAAAGCTAGAGAAATGAGCATTGGCTGAGTGATAGTGATCAGAAGATGCTCATCCGGCTGAAAGGACCTCCGGGATTCTGGCCTTTAATGGAAATGCTGCTTCGGTACGTGAGGCCTCGCTCTCCCCATCCCACCTGCCTCGGCCCGCAAGAACAAGCAGTGCTTTCCATTCAAGGGCTATCGATTTTTCTCTCTCTTTTTTTTCCCCCTTTTCTCTGTGTGCTCTCACGGTGCTCTCCGGCTTGTCCAGTACAAAGCTGCCAGGGAAACAGAATTAACAAAATGGACTGGGGCATCGTCCACTCAGGATGTCTCTGAGTTCCACCCTGGTCTGACCTGTTTTTCCCTGTCCCCAAAACGCAAAAAATGAGCGATCCAAGCTAGCTTGCCTCGAGAGAATTCATTTCCCCATCTTATTATCTCTCTTCAAAGCCAAGCCAGGCCTTCCACCCTGCACTGGAGGTGGGGGGCGGGCGGAGGCTTGGCCCTCAGATCTTCCCTACGAAGCTTTGGAAGTTGGGCCCACCTCGGGGGGCTTTGAGGGACAGGACCCCCAGCTCAGCCATGACTCAGGAAGACCAGACACAGTGTGAGACGGAGGATGCAGGCTCCCCAGGGGAAGAAGAAAGGCGAGCTGCAAAGACATTTGTTTCCTTTGCGGCCAGATCAATCCTAGCACGTAGACCCAGCCCTTCCGGGACCAGGCAGCCCTGAAACCGCCGAGATGGAGGTGGAGTCAGGAGAGAGTTCGTACAGCTGGAGGTCAACTGCAAAGGCAGAAAATGGAAAAGAGAAAAGTCGTTTTCGATGGCGTTGATTTTGTGAAGTGCCCGGTGGCAGCTTCAGATCGGTTCAAACCCAAGGGCAGCATCATGACCGTGCGGGTGGTCCCTGTCTCCTGCTCCAGAGGCCCCAAGGGTCAAAGAAAGACCTCAGCAGGCCACTGGCGCCCCGGCGTCCGGGTGTGGCACATTCCCATGTGCCCTGAGGGCCCCCCGGCCTGCGCCTGGGTTTCTGCCGTCCCGTCACTCTGTCGTGTTCTCTTTAGTAGATGGGCCACCATTGGCAATGACTTTCTGTGACTGATTGCTTGCGTCTTGTCAGTTGCCCCCTCCGTTGTGAGCTTCATGAGAGTAGAGACACACAGTGCCACCCCATGCCTGTGACAGAGCCTGGCCCATGGTAGACCCGTGAGAAATGTCCATCAGCTGACTGACAGAGGGGCTCACCGGGCTGCCAGGTAAACCCTATATCTTCCCACCCGGAGTCAGGGAGGCTGCCCTCCGGGCAGGGAAAGGCATTGAGCAGAGGCCCGAGGAAAGGGCAGGTGTGTGGCCGCCCCGCCCCCCGCCCTGGCCTTGGCCTCTGAGGTCCGCAGGGAAGAGTGGTGGCCTGATGACCCACTCAGCACTCCCATGTGGAGGCACTCTGGAGAAACTGAGTCACGGGCTCAGAAAGTTAGGAGCGGGGGTTAGGAAACACTGAAGCTGGCCTGCCATTCGCTGTGGGCAGCCCGTTTCTGAAGGACACCTGAGGAGAGTTTTAGCCTAAGAGCATCCACGCCCCCTCAAACAGGGCTTCGGGTCTGAGGAGTCCCCATCCACAGGCGTGTGGGAGTCCCTAGAATTCAGATCTCCATGCAGAACGCTGTCTTCCCGTCATTTCAAAGGAAAAGTCACAAGAGTGGGTGAGTTGTTTCCAAATCTGCCTTCCCAAAACCACAAAAGAAGGTGCTTTTCCTATTGGAGGAAGAAACAAACCAACCAACCCACACACTGGAGCTCGCTAACCTTTGAACCTTTAACACAGAGGCGAGTGGCTTCTGCTGTGGCAGGCTGGCTCTGCGTGGGGCACCCAGGGCCTTGTCTACTGGGAAGGGAGCAAGGAGCTGCCTGGTGCTGGAAAAAGAAAAACCCTCCCTCTGCCCCTCCTCCCCCTCCTCCCCTTCCTCCTCTCTATCTCCCTCTCCCCCTCCCCTCACTCTCTCCCTTCTCTGTCGTCCCGTCTCTCTCCCTCCCCCCTCCTTCCCTCTCTTAACTCTGCTGCACAAAATAAGGCTTCACGTCCATCCCCGCATTCCCCCAGAGCTGTTCCCTTGGATCCCCTCCCCAGTCAGAATGCTCTCCTCTTGGGGATCGTGGGGCAAGTAACTTCAGGCCGAATCTGCCCAAGACGCAGGAACCCTGTGTGCGCATCTGCCTCTGCCTCATCCCCATCCAGTTAGAGCGTCCCTGGGTCTCATGAAGTGGTTGAATCAGTAATGAGACTGTTCTCGGCCTGCAGTGGGGAGAGGACGCGTCAGGTGCGTGCTCTGGGGCTCACAGGAGACATCCTCCTGTGGTGGCCAAAGCGTGAGGCCCATAGGGCGGCCTGGCCTCCCCGGGGGGGCCCAGTGTTGGGCTCTCTGCTGTGTTGGGGTTCGGGCCGGCCCTTTGCCCGTCTGTCCTGCCTGTGCCTATAGCAGCCGCAGGTGAACGCTAGCCCTCAGGTGAGCCCCCAGAGCTTCCTGGGGCATCGGCAGGATGTTCCTCGAAAGGCAGCCCCGGGACTTCCTGGATCACCATCCTGGCCGAGGCCTGTCTGTGAAGGTGGCCCCTTGGCCAGGTGGGAGGAGGAGCCAGGGCCCTCGTTCCTGGGGAGACTTCCTTCCGGGGACCGCGTGGGGAAGCACACCTAGGCTCACACAGGCCCACCCGACGCCGCCCCGCCGGCGTCACCCGGTACAGCAGCACCCAGCTCCGTGACAGCCGACCGCAGCCCTAGGAAAGGCAGGCCTTGGGTGAGCTCCTCCACGACCACGGTGGTGGAAAGCCACAGGTTGCCTGGGCCATCCTTCAGTGCGTCCATCACTAAGCAGCCCCTTTCAGCCGCTGCTTCCTCCTGGTCACTGAAAACATTTGTCATTTCCTGTTTTCTCCATTTTCCAACGATTCTAATTGTCAGTGTCAAAAGGCAACAACTGTTTTCTTGGGGCTTATCTTTGGAGCACATTGATTCAGAACAAAGGATGGGGGCCTCTGTCTGCAAAACAAAGGAAGCAGCCTCCTCGGGAGGCCTGGAGAGAATGCTCTGGCTGCTCTGCCAGGGACAACAGGACAGGCCGGGAGCAGAGGGCTGGCGGTGCCCCCCCCCCATGCCCCAGCAGCGTGAAGAGAGCCCTGCTTGACGGCGACACCCCAGGCCGGCGTCGGCCGTGCCCTTCGGACTCGGCAGCTTCTGTAGCCGTGCCGCTCCGCAGACTCGCGCTTAAACTCTGGATCCTCTGGGTTTCTCTGCTTCCTTGGATGAACACCGGCCAGCATCCCGTTGTCCCTGTAACTGTGGACCGTTCGAGAAGCACTCCCTTTCATCTGGCAGACACTGCCCACTTCCTCCACTCTGACCTCTGCCCCAGCCTCGCCTTCACTTTGGTTTCCCAGGCCCCGGGGGCGTCTTTCCTCTCTACCTCCCTCCCTTTGGACTCTTCTGCCTGTCCCCTGCTTTGTCTTTCGTCGCACTCTGTAGCCTCCACCTGCCCTTCCCCCACTCCGTACAACTTTCTGTTATTTGATGCACCTAATGGAGCAGCTGGTGGGGATGGAGTTAGGGCTGGTATAGACAGCAGGGCACAGGAGCCGGTTCCTGGAAGCAGCGGGCTGGGGAAGCAGAAGCAGTGGATCTGCAGTTAGGAGACGCTGCACTTCCCCAGCCGTGTCACCTTGAGCAAGTCACTTACCCTCTGTGAGCCTCAGTTGTCACGTCAGTAAGCTGGGACCATAGGTCTTCTACCCAGATCTCCTAGGGCTGGTGGGGGGTTCGATGGCAAGAACAGAGGTGAGAGGGCTGCCTTCAGAAAGGCCTGCCCACCCTGAGCAGCTCAGGCAGAGCACAGGGCTCCCCCAGCTCCCCCACTTCCCGATGGGGTGGCCTTGGGTGGTCATGCGACCCCTGTGCTCCTGAGGTCCTGTCTCCCCACCCCACGCTTTAGCAGGAAGACGGCAGCTCCAGGGCTGAAGAGCGACATCCCTGGCACCCACCTCCCAGCAGCCCCGGGGGAAGGGGGGCAAGAGCTCGGACAGGAAGCAGGCTGAGGGCGGGAAGCTGACATCGCTTGTGGTGTGGTCCGCCCACTGCCACGTGTTTGTCCTCTCTGCCTTGGCAGGAACCGAGGCCGAGAACTGCCCGACAGGCCCGGGCGCCGGGCTCTCTCCCAAGCGCCGGCCCTCCGAGTGCAGAGAAGCAGGCCCCGGGCAGCCTGTGTTGTCGGGTCAAGTCTTCTGGCATCTGGGGGGCGGGGGACGCAGTTCCGAAAGTAAACTCAGGGAGGCGTGCTCCCGACAGAGCTGCCTTGCTTGGTGGCGCACGAGGAAGCAGACTCCTTGAGAAGGGGACAGAGGCGGCAGCGGGTGAGCACTGGACTGGGAAGCAGACCTGGGGCCCAGTCACAGCCTGGCGCCGAACGGCTGAGGGGCTTGGGGCCAGTTGTGCCTTCTCCCGGCCCTCAGCTGGCTGGCTCGCGGCTGTCCCCTTGAGCGGCTCCCAGCCTCAGGGCTGGGACTGCAGCCTTCGAACGTGGCTCCTCCCCCTGCCCACCCAGCTTGCGGATGGAGACCGGGAGCCCGTTCCCATCGCCCATGTGCAGCCAATCAGGCAAGCGAAGGGAAGCTGGGACTGAGTGGCTACTCCGGGCGTCGGCCAGTGCGTCCATCTGATCGTGTGATCATCGCGCCCTTCGTGCCAGGACCACCTGGAACAAGCCTTGGCCCTTTCCCCATGACAGCCCCGACATCCCTGGTTCGCTCAGCCATTCTTTGCCCTCGTGGTTGGGAGTCCAAGCCCTACCTCCATCACTTAGTGTCCTCCGAGTGCGGCCAGTTTGTCTGGGTCTCCCTGAGGCTGGCATGCCCAAACTCTTGTCAGCACCGTAGACGTGGTCTGGCCAAGGCAGAGTAGTGTAGGACTGTCACCTGCCTCCTTCTACATACTCTGCTTCTACTAATGCAGCCTAATGTCACATTTGCTCTTTTGGTGACCACATCTCACTGCTGCCCCATCCTGAGCAGAAGGATGTCCAGAATGCCTAAATCTTTCTTCTCCGTGCTCTTGCTGTTAAGCTCTGTGTCTCCCGCCCTATCCTACGCTGTCGCAGTTGGTTTTTTAACCCAGGTGCAGAATCCTACTTTTATTTATACCTGCGGAGTTTTGCTTGGGAGGGTGGGGCATGCATGCGAGTGTGTGTTGGTGTGTTCACTCATGCTTTCTGCTACACCAAAGCCAAGTCCTGAGTCCCCACACAGAGATCCCAAGGCTAGTATTTCTTGGTAGCCCTAATCTGACACTTCTTTCTCATCTTCTATTTAGCAAGAGAAGCAGAAATCAGGTCTTATGGCAATGATCCCTGAACAGCGGAGTGCATATCTCGCCCAACAGATGAGTCAATTTCAAGGTAAGCACTTAAACTCGATGTTCTCGAAAGGGCGGGCCAGGGGGAGTGTGTGTGAGGTTGGGGGAGGATTCATTCCAGCAGAAACAGTTACTGAGATGTTTCTGAAAAGCATTGAGGGAAAGAGAGGAGGTCTGCAAGGCACTTCCAGGGCAGCCTGGTTGGATCCGTCACGTGGAAAGCTTAAGTAGAGTCCCAGTGAAACGCTCAGTCTTAATGACTCTGAAATCGCTGTTTGATTCAAGAGATTGATTCACCCATGGCATCTAGGACTGTAATCAACACTGACTGGCCGCAGATACAGCTGTTAGCCAAAAACCAGACACGGTCTCTGCCGGACTAGCAGGGGAAACATGCGTTAAGCAGTCCTCCCCAGCCAATAGTGACATTGGACCAGGCCAAGGGTATTCTTGCCTGGGGTTTGGGGGAAGCTGCTTGCCCTCCAACAGGTGTTCAGCAGCTTCATTGTAGCCCAGTGGCCAGCAATGGCCCATTGCTCCTGCATTCTCTTGCAAAAACCCCTGTTCCTTTGGGTCTGATACCAGCTGAATGTCCCACCCGTCCAGGCTGGAGTGGCATGTCAGGCACACTTCAGCCACAGGGACAGGACGGACAAGTTCCAGAAAGGCCAGTGTCAAGGACTGGGCATCCTTCAGGGGGTGGGCGGTGCCAGGCCTGCGTACGGATACGGAGTAGAAAAGTAGACCCAGACCCTGGCTTCATGGAGCTTACAAACTACTGGCATTTTCAGTCCAACATGATCTGCTCTTGGGTGGAGGGGGAGCCATGAGCACAGACCCAGGGGGTCTAGGAGGGCTTCCCCCAAGAACTGCAGTCCGGGCTGAGGGTGGAGGAACCAGGGGAGCAGGAGATGCTCGGGAAGAGCCCAGGGCGGCAGGTGAGAGGTCAGTGCTGGGCCGGTGGCTCCCCGCCAGCAGCTGCGGCCCAAGTTGAAGATGCCTTTGGAACTGACCCCCACTTCTCTCTTTCTGTAGCCGTCCAAGATCAAGTCACCTCCAAGTGTAGCCGGACCAAGGCAAGCTCCCCACCCAACCAACCCATGATGCCACCCGGAGCTGCGCTCCTCCAGAGCGCTCTGAGCCCAGGAATGGTCCCGCCCGCCAGGCACCAGAGCCGGGAGGGCGTGGGCCTGCTGTCACCAAGTCCAGGCAAGCAGCACGGGACCTCCAGCTCCAGCCCCCCGTTTCCCACACCCTTGCGCTTGAGGCACAACCCCGCGGGCAGCCTCGGGTCCACCTGCCGGCGCACGCGGATTCCCAAGGCCGCCCCCACGGGAGTGCCCCTGCCCGGCTTCTGTCCCAGCCCCCTGGGCAGCCAGCCCCTGAGTCCCCACCAGCTCAGACAGCCCTGCGTGCCAAGAGTGCCCACCGTGCTCCACAACGCTGCCTGGGTGGCAGCAGCAGCAGCAGCTGTGAGCACCGCGGTGTTGAGGGGGCCACCCCCGAGGCAAGCAGCCCATGGCGTCCAGCAGCATTTCCATAGCAACTCCCTCTTTGCCAAGGCCCCCGTGAGGGTCCCCCAGGGAGCCCCAGTGTTTCCATCACAACAGGCAGTTGTGTCCCCCAGTCAGGTGGCCCCGGGAGGCAGACCCAGCCAGAAGGTGGGCGCTGCCCCCGCCAACCCCAGCTTCAGCCTGCTGAGCCACCAGAGCCTCAGACAGAGCCCGCTGCGGGGTCCCGTGCCTGTGCTACACGCCACCAAGTCCCTCCAGCAACGCATGGTCAGTTTCAGGCCCGTGAGTCCCATCCAGGGCATCGAGCCACCAAGCTATGTGGCTGCCACCGCCGCCGCCGCCTCCACTGTCGCTGCCAGCCCGTCCCCTGGTCCCTTCAACAGCGTGGGGAGCCCCCCTGAGTTGCCACCCTATGCCTTGTTGCCCCAGGCCTCACTGAACGATCTCATTTCACCCCCTGACTGCACTGAGGTGGATTTCATCGAAGCTCTCTTGAAAGGCCCCGGCGTGAGCCCAGATGAAGACTGGGTGTGCAACCTGAGGCTGATCGATGACATTCTAGAACAGCACGCTGCTGCCCAGACTGCCGCAGCCCAGAGTGCCGGCCACATCCCTGAGCAGGCTGGCCACATCCCCCAGAATGTTGGCGAGCTTTAAATGCCCAGAGAAACCTCCACGGGGCCATCACTCCGGGGAGCGGTGTGAGTCCACAGCAAATTCGCAGCTGGTCCCACGTAGCCACACGCTTGTTGCCTCATTACGATTTGAGGGGCGTCAGCCCACGCCCACCCCTCTCGCTACCTGTGACGAAATGGAAAGCTGGTGATTTTTCAAGCTACCTGTACATATCTGAACATTTTGTAAATGGTTTTCCTAAACATTCACGACAGAAGTATTTATACTTCGTTTTGTGACTTTGTAAATAAAGTGACGGCTTTCCTTTCAGTAGAGCTGTGTTCATTATGCATTGTCTGTGTTTATTCTACATTGTTGCCAATACGCAGACTGTGTCGCTCACTCCAGCCATACCTTATCAACCGGGTGGTGGAGTCACGTACGCTTTAGATGCAGTGGTGGATGTGATCAAGAGGTGTTGTGCAAACTGACAAATACCAAATCGAAACTCACTTGGCCATGTATTTCCATTTCCACTAAAACTTCTGTCGCCCTGTGTGGTTCTTAACCTCTTTCGCAAACCTTTCAGTCTCTGCTAGCTCCTTCCTGACAGAGCATATTACAGCACAAGCCGTTTGATCGTTAAGTGCCCCTCAGAGGAATTATTTGCCCGGAGGCCGGAGAGTTCTGTAGATTTGGGAGAAGCAAGGAGGTAATGTGTGAGCTGGGCACTGTCTGAGGACCTTGAGTCTCCTCCCTTTATCCCTCAGACGGTTGGCACTACTCCAGCAGCACCTTGCAGGGTGGAGGTGAGATGTTCCCGGTTTAAAGCCTTTCGGTATTTGTTTTGATGTAAGGCTCTGTGGTCTGGGGGAAAATGGGTCTGTAAACATTAATTGTTGATTCGGGCTTTGTCTTTGATGGTTTCTATCTGCAATTATCGTCATGTATATTTAAGTGTCTGTTATAGAAAACCCACACCCACTGTCCTGTAAACTTTTCTCAGTGTCCAGACTCTGTGTAATCACATTTTAATTGCCGCCTCGTATTTCGCCTCTACATTTGAAATCTGGCGTCTGTTTCCAACCAGTGCGTTTTTTCTTCGTACTGTAATAAACAACCAGGAGAAAAGTGCCTCTATGTGTTCATTTCTCCAGGGAGCGTTCAGCATCTACAAACCCTGTCAGCTAAGCCCGCTAGTGTCTTCGGGCCTTTCTGAGACCACTCCCCGTCTCGGGATGCTTGGCCACCGAGGGGAGAGGGGTGAGAAGTTTGTGTAGCGTGAGCCGCGATCCTTTCACATCACAGCATAGAAGCACATCATTTCTGACTCGAACGCCTCCTTCTACAGAGGACGAAACAGGGGAGCCGCTAAGGTGACTCTGCGCTGGGGGCAGGGGGCAGGGGGAGGCTTGCGCTGAGAATCTAGACTCTCCCACCACCATCCTCTTTCCGCTGAGAGGGTGACAGGCCCAACTAAAGATGCAGCTCCTCCCACGAAAGGGGGACCCACATAGGGCGGCTGGAGGTTGTCCATCACTTCACAGAGTCAGGAAGAGCCTGGTGAAGGCGTGGTCCCGGGAGAGAAGGGGCTTCCCGCCTCCTCGTCCCCTGGCCCTCCCCCAGAGTCTATGCTAAGGCCAGCCCTGTTCGTCCTTAGCACTGGAGCGGGCAGAGCTCAGCGGCCGGGGTGCTGAGCAGACGGGATGCAGCGGCTGTGCCGTCCTCCCGGCCCGTCGAGCTCCAGGAGCCCCGCCCCTGGAGCCCCGCCCCGACCTGCTACCCAATCCCCGCTCGGCCTCCTCCTCTCCCCGCCTCCCCGCCAGCAGTTGCAGGCAGCATCTTGGCTGCAGGCTGTTACCAATTTAAACTGCACGAAAACAACAGGGACTCCTGTCACCTCACACTCGGGACCCTCCCTCACAGCAAGAAAGTGGCTTCCACAGAGCTTCATCGAAATGTGGCCTCATTCTGAAGGGGACCCTAAAGAGGTGGGTGGGACCTGTGCCTTTCCCACGAGGTGGCCAGGATCTGGCGCGTTGGCGGCAGGGGCGTTGCAGAGGGAACCACGTCTCCGCAAAGGGAGTGAGGAAGCTAGCTGGGAACACACACACACACACACACACATACACACACTCCGTGTGCTGTAAGAGCGCAGCTGAAGCACCAGCTGGGATCAGGGGTGGGCCAGATTGAATACACACATTTAATCCCCTAACAGGCAGGGAGAGTTTATATCCTCATCCTCAAGGTACAAAATGTTCCAACACCTTTTGGAACTTTGGGGGCTGAGGAAGCCAGGTACACTGAGGCAGGCCTGTCCTGTCCTGTCCAGCAGAGCCTGAAATGCTCTAAGGAGATGCCGCCACGCGCCACTCTCAGTGGCTGTGACTGAGGGCAGAGATCCACAGGGGGAAGCAGGCCTCCGTAGTCCGTGGGCCAGAGGGGTGGTGGAAACAGTCACGGCCCCAAAGCCCGGGCAATTGGCCCACCTGCTCACAAGGCCCCTCCTGCTTCCTGCAGAGCGTTCCTTTTAGGTCTGGGGAAGGGATACGTCCCGCGGGCGTCCCTCAGCGCCAATCACGACTCTGTGTCTCGGGCTCGACCTCTGTTCCCCCAGTGTTGACTGAAGCGCCCCACTCCTCCCGTCCCTTCTCCTCAGCGGGCCCAGGGGCAGGAAGGGTCGGACCCACCTGCCCAGAGACTGTTGTTCACAGCCAGCCAGTGGGGGTGTTGAAAGCCAGCCCGTGAAGCGGGGCCTCCTCAGCCTGCCACGGGGCTTCGGGAGCCACAGCTGCCCCCGCTCAGCTCTGCCAGCCCTCAGAGTCCCGAAATAAAAGCTGAGCTTGGCCTGCTGAACTGTCCCGCCTCCCATTCCCAGAGGGTTCACTTCTCACCTCAACCACGTGGTGACCTCAAGGCTGAGCCAGTGTGGGCAGCACCCACGCCCAGCACTTCCTGCTACCTGACCCCAGCCTGGCCTCACTACCCCCTGGTCGCCCCAGGCTGCTCTGCCCAGAGATGCCAGCCCCCACCGTTCTGCCATCGTTCAGTGCCCCTCTCTCCTGCACCCCCTGCACCGTCAGCCTCTCCTCTCCTGGATTCTTCCCAGGGGCTTTGACCTGGGCTACGTGAGAAGGGTCCTCACTGCCTCAGGCCAGCCAGCTCCAGCTCTAACGCCCTGCTGCCACTCCGTGCACTCACTCCTCAGCCCAGAGCCATGTGGCTCCTCCCCGAGGACACTGGCCAAAGGACCAACTCCCTCCAGACCTAAACCCAACGGAAGCTTCTCAGTTCTCAGTGGACTTGCCCCTTTAGCAGCATAGGACTCTCCCTCCTTCCAGAACAGGACTGCCCCCTGGCTCCTGGGAGCCACAGTCCCCTGGGACGCTTCTTCCCCTCTGAGGTCCATCCTCTCCTGTCGCTCTGTAAGGGGATGCTGCTCCTTCTGTAGCTTCCTCTCACCCAACTAGGGCTTCTCCCTCTCTCCCTATTTTCCAGTTCCTTCTCCTGGGAGACGAGCAGGTCCCTGAGCCCGCATCCAGCATCCCAGCATCTCAGCATCTTGATGGTCCAGCCACAAGGAGCATCGTATGTCTGGGCAGGGCCCTAAGTTTCAGTCCCCAGGGGATCGCTGCTGGACCGGTCTGCACGTTGGGCTGAAGCCTTCTAGGCCCCTTGAAGAAAAAGTGAAAGAGTTTGGAGGCTGCCGGATGCTCCCCACCAAGAGGGTTCACCTTCAGCCTGCATCAGACAGCAGCCTTGATGGGAACCCCTCCCAGGCCCTGGCCTGCTCAGGCCCTTCACTGCGAGGGCTGGGAGGGGCTTGCGGGTGGGACCTGAGGCCTCCCCACAAAGACCCGCAGTCACCAGCTGGGAGGCTGGTGACTACGCACCCTGTCCCATCACCCCGCTCCCCAACTCTGAGGCCAGCCCCCGGGGTAAAGGCCAGAAGTCCCCAGGGAGGTGTGTGAGACCCCCGGAGCCTCCGTCCTCCCTTAGAGCAGGCTCAGGCCCCTGGAGGTCTGTTTATCATCTGTCCCCCTTCAGCCTAGAAAGTCAGGGGATCTGGCAGTGGACACGAGGTTCGGGAAAAGCACGTGCTGTTGGCTTCTCCAGTGTGTGGCCATTCCGTGATGCAACAAGCATGCTTGCGCCAGGCACCGGGAGGTACACAGACATGGTCCCAGCCTCATGGAGTACACCATGGGGTGCGTCTGTCAAGGTCATGCACAGAAACAGAACCGGGGGAGATGGGGGTGGCGGGGGAGGGGTGTGTGTGTGGGTGTGTGTTCTCCACAGCCACACGATCTGCCATCTGCAAGCCGGCGCCCCAGGAAAGCCGGGAGTGTCATTCCTGAGGCCGGAGAACCAGGGGCGCCGGTGGTGTAAATCCCAGTCTGGGGTCTGAAATCCACAGGACAAGCTATCAGGAAGAGCAGGCTGGAAACTCAGGCAGGAGTTGACACTGCGGTCCACAGACAGAATTTTCTCTTCCTCGAGGAAACCTCAGTTTTGCCCTTAAGGCCTTTCAGCTGATGGGCTGAGGCCCACCCAGATTATTCAGGGCAGTCTCCCTCACCTTACGTGACTATAGCTGTTAACCCCATCTGCAGAATACCTTCACAGCAGCAGATCAGTATTTGATTAAATAACTGGCCCATATGGCCAAGCCAAGTTGACAGGGGGACAGATGATTGACACATTAACAAAGAAAATAATAACAAGTTGCATTAAGGTCTACAAAGGAAACACAAAAGGGGCAGAGAGTAAGAGACCCCAGTGTGGTGGCGCTGGTGGGGACACTTGGGAAAGACAACTCTCAGGGAGTGAAATTTGAGCTGAGATGAAAGGATGGGAGGGAGCAAGCCATGCAAAGAGCTCGGGCAGGGATATTCCGGGAAGAGGAAAAAGCACGTACAAATGCAGGGAGGAAGGGAAAAGAAGTCGGTGGGTGGGTCCAGTGAGCAAGATCGGGGCGGGGGGGTGGGGGGAGGCAGGAGAGGGGGTGTGGAGGAGGGCAGGGCCCTGGAGGCTGTCTCGATTCCTCAAGGGAAGTCTTGGGTCACTCCTGTACCCATGTGGAGGATGGACTCCAGAAAGAATGAGGGCAGCCAGTGTGGAAGGCCTCCTTCTCCATGAGGACTCCCCCTGGACATCTCCAGTTCTGGAGGTCTAAGCTGAACTCCTCATCATGCCTGCAAGCCTGGGCATCCTCCTGGTCAGTGGAAAGCAGTCATCATACCCTGCTAAGGGACCCAAATCCACTTGGTCTCCAAGTCCAGACCTGGGAGTCATCCTCGATGTTTGTCTTTCCCTCACCCCTCCGTATCCTGGGAAGATGGGATTTCTCCCCCACATCCATCTGCAAAATCTCTGTGATCACAGTAAAAATCCCAGCAGGGTTACTTTCTGGAACATGACAAAATGATTCAAGGTGACTCATCCGGTGGGTCAACAAGACAAGAATAGCCAGGAAACTTCTAAAAAGAAGACTCAAGAAAGGGTTCTAGCACTACCAGATATTAAAATGTATCGTGAAGCTACTGTATTTAAAACAATGTGGCCCTGACACAGGAAAAGACAGATGAGTCAGTGGAAAGGAAATAGATAAAAAGCATAATGGGAATTAAGACAATGAGCAAGGTGGCGTTTCAAATACACAGTGCTGGAAAAACTGACTGGCCATCTGCACAATAAGTCTGTGTCTTCTGCCTCACTCCTGACATCAAGATAAATTCAGACGATTTGAAGATTAAAATAGAAAAAAGAACCCAGAAAAGCACTATAAGGAAACGAGGGTGGGTATTTTTATAATATCAGGGTCGATCAACCTTCTCCTATCGTGACATGAAATCCAGAAGCCATAAAGGAAAAGACTGATAAAATTGCCCACATAGAATTTTGAAACTTGCATACAGAAAAACACACCATGAAAGTCAGAAGATAAATGACAAATTTAGAAAACAAAGATTTGGAACACATGACAGACAAAGGGTGATTTACTCAATACTTACAAATAAAAGTAGTAGATTGTCTCCAAAAAGACAACTACGAGAATTCATGACACTTTGATTCACAGTAACCAAAACCTGCAAACAGGTGTCTATCAATAGGAGAAGGGG